AAATTATTATTAAATATAAATTATTAAATATAAATTTATAAGAAAATAATCATCTCGTAATTTGTTAATACTTTTTTGTTATAGCTACTGATGCTAACAACAAATATGATTCGTAAAGATTTAAATAGCCAAAATCAGTATGACGCTGGTTTAGCACTGAGCGGTTTGTCTTGCTTTATAAGTCCAGATTTAGCTCGTGATTTGGTTCATGATATAATGACATTATTGACTTCTACAAAACCATATTTACGCAAGAAGGCAGTTTTGATGATGTATAAAGTATTTCTGCGGTTCCCCGAGGCCCTGAGACCTGCTTTCCCTAGATTAAAGGAAAAGCTTGAAGATCCAGACAGTGGTGTTCAAAGTGCAGCAGTAAATGTAGTTTGTGAATTAGCCAGAAAAAATCCAAAGAATTACCTGAGTTTAGCGCCTGTTTTTTTTAAATTGATGACAACTTCTACAAATAATTGGATGCTCATTAAAATTATCAAATTGGTAAGTGTTGCTGTTGTACTACAGTTTTAAAAGATAAATAATATTTCTTTTCGTTTCTTTCATATAAAAAAAAACTTTATGTCCATAACTATTTTTTTAATATTAATTATAAATTTTACACATATACATCTTTTTTTTTTATTGTAAGTTATGTTGATTTTGTTTCTCACACTCAGTTCTCAACTATAATCCTGATCGAACCAAAGCTGGGTCGACAACTTACTCAACCATTAATTGATCTAATTTCAAGGTTTTATACAATATTCATTGTTTTAAACAATATTTAAAATCTTTGTAGATACAAATGTTTATTTCTTGCAATGATATTAATAGTATAAAGCGGTATCTCAGAACGTATTCCGTAGAATCATTTATATTATGTTTTTCATATATTTCGCGATTATACATATTTCATCTATTCACAAAATAAGAATTAAAAAAGCTACTCCTCTAAATATAAAAAAAATACCAAGTACATCTTAGAAGGCAATATGACATTGTATTTTCAGTTTGGAGCATTGACACCTCTAGAACCTAGGCTTGGCAGAAAGTTAATAGAACCCCTTACCAATTTGATACACAGGTATTCTAATGTATTTTGAAAGTATTTAATTATCGCGTTTGTAATGTTATCATTGCTTACTTAGTTTTATATTTTAGTTTAGCTGTCTAATGTTTATATTATTTTTTATTTATATCTTGTAATATACATACTATTTATAATATTAATATTTATTTTACAGTGTATAATATTTTGTTAATTTCTTCCTTATGAATAAATTATTTTT